TGTGTTGTGGAGGGGGGGGTGGGGGAAATAAATTCTCTCCAGTTCAAGAGCTGAAGTCACTAAGTTCTTTTTCAATCCAAACAATTCCCCGACTGGCACACTGCTTGATTACTTGAGATTCCATGTTGGCTTGTACCCTCACAGCAGGCAAATTTGTATGGATACATTTTACACTTAGAAATAGATGAATACACCCATTTTATAAAATCTCATTCTATACTTCCCTGCCCTATGTGTATTTCAGATGAACATCCCATTTACCGCAGTATACAAGAATCAAAGCCAGCCTACTTCCCGGACACCAACATTCATGTATGTTAAACTGTAACTACTTGTGATCTAAATCTGCCAGTCTTGCTCATGTCAACTGGTACTTATTCACGTAGACAGCCCAGCTGAACTCAAAATGACCAACTGCATGAACTAGGACTTAACTCATGTAAGTAAGGGTATCAGAATCAGACCTCAAATTACATAAATATTACCTGCTATTTTTTGTATCATATTGTCTCATATTTTTGATGAAGTGCATCTTCTTCAAGCTTCTGTGTCTTGGAGATCCAGATACGTGCTTGGTTCTGTAATTAAAGAAAGTTATTAAGTGATCTAAAAGAAAGATGTAGGTGTTCTTATGATCAGATGGCGGCACTAACATGCAGGACCTGAGATAGTCAGCTTTGAGGAGGGTGGAGGGAGGAGAGGACTTGCATGCAACGAGTTAAGATTAATGCTGCTTTTGAAAAAGTACCTTCGTACACTGGCACATTCCACTATGTCTTCTAAAAATTCTAGAGAGCAGCGCTGGGAGATAAAACGCCTTCTGTAAAAATGTACAACACCATGAAGAGTGAACAATATTAGTTCATGGCCTTTGAGATCAGAAACTGCAACAGAGAGCTAAGAAGTCTTAAGATACTGTACTTCTCACAAAAGATAGCTGAAGTATTCAGAACTCAGCATCTTTAAACTTCTGAAGAGGCCAAGAACCTTAGAGTTCCCAAAGCAAGCAGTTTATACTGAGTAAAGCGTTTACCGGTAATAATCTTTTTAAGAAGTTGGCTCTCTTAACAAAGAGGTCATTTAACTAATCAAAATAGTTAACAGCCCTCAGAAAAGAAAGCTTGTCTGCAAGTTACCACTTCAGGAATCTTTAAAATACACATTTAAAAAAACCAAATGAGAAGTATGGGAAAACCCCTCACCTGCGGTTTTCATATAGCTTATGTACTTTTTCTCAATTCAGAAAATAGAACTAGTTACTTTTCTTGTGATAGGAGTTCAGACAAACTAAGAAAGCTTTCTTGGACAATAGTTCTGGCTCAATAAAAGCGACAGAAGTTCTTTAAGAAAATAATATATAAAAAAGGAAGCTTGGGGTACTTCATGCCCATGTAGAATCCTATAATGGAAGACATGGGGGGGAGGAGGGAATCCACAAGAAATCGAGATGGCATAATATTGATGACGTATCACATTAACGTGGGGAAAATGGACCTTGCCCAGAGAATCAGATTCCTTTTGTCAAAGGCTTAGATCATTCATTAACTGGTGAAAATGTAAATGTGATCAAGGATTTTGAAGCTATGCACTCCATAATAAAAGCTTTGTTCAGATCCAATCCTCACTACAAAGCCATCTCCAAATAGTATTTCACTGGAACTATAATCTACATCTTCACAATTTGTCTTGGTAAGCCTGAACATGCCATGTACTTAGATAGGAGTTTTTCTTATGCTGTTCTTGACAGATGTTTGTCAATTCTGTAATATGCACAGACAGAACCGGATTAACTATATTAATGAAGAAAAGGGGCTTTGGTTTTTAAAACCTTACAAAACTTTAACACACAAAGGCAATGGGATTTCTTTAAAAAAAATAAGCAAATATCCCTATATCCCAGGGTAAACAAAATGACAGCAGCATTTCTGTTAAAAATGACGAGAAACAGCAACTGTTTCTTTTATCAAGACAAATTCTGTAATCTGAAATACAGAAGCTAGACATTTCTCTAACTTAAAATGTTTAGTCAATAAGACTGTGTAAATCTCCTTCTAGGAATTCCGTCAAGCATTTAAAAAAATAAGCAGCCACACACTTTGGTAAATAAACTGAATAAAAGACTAAAGGTCAAAACTGAAAGACTAAAAAACCCCCAAGTCAGCCAGCTTTATTATTTGGGTGCCTAAACAGATGGATAAGGCTAAAAGAGACTATTAGTCAGACTGCCTGTATAATAGGCCATAGGACTTCCCCAAATCAATTCTTATTTCAAATGCAGCATGTGTTTTAGAAAGACATTGAATCTGGATTTTTAAATTGCCAGTGATGGAGATGCCCTGATAAATTGTTCCAACAATTAACAGTGAGGGTAAAAACATGCACTGCATCTTCAGCTTCCAGCCACTGAATGTCATTATTACTATATGCTGAATTGAAAATCCATTATCAAATGTTTGTTCCCTATGTAGATGCTTATCAACTACAACAGTCATCTTTTAACTTTGTTTGCTAAGATGAATACATTTACTTGCTTGAATCCATTGTTATAAAGGTCTTTTTCTAACCCTTTAATTATTCTTGGGGCCCTTTTCTCAACTCTCCAATTTATCAATGTCAGTCTCAATGCCAGACACAGAAGTAATATAACCTCCCAACTCCTACTTAAAAGTCCCATTTATACATCCAAATATGGCCTAAGATGTTTAACTTTAGGCACTTAACTTTGGAAGGAAAAATGTACTTTTCAGAAAGTAGGCTTGCCAGATACCTGATCACAGCGGGTGAAAAAACTGGTTGAGGAAAAAAACCCCAAAGTTTGTTGGGGGGAGAGGGGGGTGGAGAGAGAGAGTGCGCTGCACCTTTAATTTCCCCCACCTCTGGCAGGGAAATAATGGCCCCACCGGCCTTTTGTTCAACAGAAACAGAAAATATTGGCATTTTCTGGTTTTTTTTTTAAACCGGACAGAAGACATGATTTCCGGACTCTCCAGGCAGAAACCGGACGCCTGGCAACCCTATTAGAAAGTTACCATAAAAAACACCCACGTTTATACTTCCTCCTTCCCGTTCTTGTAGTTACTTATTTTCTCAACTTCCACTAAAGATACTGCCAGGATTGCTTAAAAATGTTAGTCCAGGATGGTGGACACACTTCAAAGTAGTAAATCACCATAATCATGTCAAGTTGCCATTATACAGTGCTTTTCCTTCAAATGAGCAATCTGCAGTTTGCATGGTTACCAAAGACCCTTTGATGAGGATTATCTGCACCTCTAAATTAAATCCTTACCATTTTTTCCTACTTAAAGTAAGAGTGTCAACTGTACAAAGAGTACAGCTCTGCCTACCTATTAAAGTGTCCCAGGTAAGGATTTTAAAATTAGAGGATTTATTTTCTGTAGTGAGAATTGCAATTAGTTTGCACTTGCATCCATTCATGTTGTCCAAATTATTTAGACAAATGCTTTCACATATATTCCTAAAGCCTTTTCAAAAGTCATGCTTTAATGTTATCTGCTTTTTGTAAAAGTGCCAGGAGATCCAAGACTGCTGCATGCATTTCTGTCTCAGCAGTAAAGGGCACCCAAAGCAATTGACAAAAGCAAATGTAATTAACTAGTTATGGCTAAAAGGAATAAGTAATTACTTGCTATCTGACACAAAACCTGGCATTTGCACTTGAAAGCAAATCTGACTTTTCATTTCTCTTAGTGGAGTTATTCAGGTGTTTTCTGGAAAGAGCATGACTCAAGCAAGCACTCAGTTGAAAAATGTGAGTTGCTCCTTGTATACAAGAATAGAGATGTTAAATCTCCTCCTTTGTGAGTTTAGAGTTAGAAACAGACTTTGGTAGTATAATATGGAACAGCTAATCAAGTGGCTAGACACTTGGTACATTCATGGGGCATGTATTACTTGAGATCCCCAATGTCCTCTGCCAAAACTGCAGTTTAAAGACATTTTATAACTTTTAAAAGTAGTTTTGATCCTACTCATGGTTATCCTGGAGCCATCACAACCTCAAGCATGGCTACTGCAGTGGTATTTCAGCATGCAACATCATTCAAGATAGAAAGGGGGCCACGTAAATCAAAATTCCTGGTGTGCTGGGAAGGCCATTAGTCATGACACAAAGTTCTGCACAGAAGGGGTGTTGGTTTAGCCAATTAATACAGGCATACAGAAACCTATTTGTAGGAAGTCATGGTTAAGCCCCCTTTGGAGAAAGTGTAGAGTACCACAGGGTTATGCAAAAACACGTTTTCCTGGTTTAACTGTATGAATCCCACTTAGAAGACAGGCCCCAGGAAGGAAAGTTTGTTTTTATTCCAGAAGGTTTGTAACCTGGACTCACTAGGATTATGAAGTACAGAGAAAATATCTGCTTCCTGGAGATTTCACTTGTACTTATTGCTCTGAACTTTTTGGGAGGATTAAAGGTTTCTTAAACTGCATTCTTTTGTCATGTGAGATATATTCAGTCCATTTAGGAGAGTAAGTTCTCTGTATCTTCTTTAAAAACATCAACAGAATCAGCCAACTACTGATTTATGTATTTGGAGGCTTGGTAAGAAGTATTCTCCTTCACTAGTTATGCTAGAACAGAGCAAAGAGGTTTTGGGCTCACTTTTGGATTGTGGCTGGGGAGCAAATGCTACTCCCACTTGTCATGCCCAACTCCAGGCAAAAGAGGAAAACACCTGTTAGGGACACAGCCACTTCACCTGGGACAGATGCATTTTCAGAGCCTGTTCAGGATAACAGGAAATACTATACTAGTGAAGCATAGTGCTCTGGGGAAAAATGGCCAAATACACTGATGTTGTATTTAAAAGGGAGAAGAGCCTCATATTCACTTTCTGAAATTTGACCACACATTTCACAAGAAAGCAGAGATCTGCTGACAGCCTGCTTCTGTGTTAGTCGCAAAAAAACCCCAACACTCCAAAAAGAAAATCTAGACACATTTGCTTGGTTCAGTCTTCCAAACCTCTGCCTTCTTGCTCTTAGTCCAAACTTGCTGGGTTTGTTGTAAGCTATTTGCTGTTTGACACATTAGCCATTAAAACATGAGGAACCTGACTTTAGGCCAGGGAGAAGCTAATATGACTGAAGTTTGTATTTCCCTAAATAAAAATAATTGATCTCAGTCCATTTGACTTAATGTTAGGAATCAAGAGAGAACATGCCTAGGTGATCCCCTTTGTTTATTTTTGCAAACGTGTAGCCACTGAAATGCTTGGTTTCACATTTACATGCAAGGGGCAGGCAGGACCTGGTGCTCCCCTCAAGCACCGGCTCCCCCTGCACTCTCCCCACTCCTGCCTACCACAAAGAAAGGAGGAGGAAGAGGGAGACTGGGGGCCACTTGCCCCCCACCTCCTGCACTGCTGCCTCTGATACAGAGTGGTGGGAGGGAGGGGTGTTGCGTGTAACCATGAGGGTTAACCAATGAGCCCAAGCTCATTGGTTAACTGTGTACACATTCCTATCCCTAGTCAGGAAAACTACCCATTCTAGAATGACACAAAGCAGTGCTTCCCACAGTTAGTTACATGAAGTTGAGGAGGTCAGGAAGACACATCTCAACTATTACACACAAACTACAGCATAGGAAGCACTAACCCCACCGTCCGAACCACAATAATACATTCAGATAAGAAACTTCACTCCATTTTAGCTTCATTAACAGAACTGTTTTCCCTTGAGAAGTCTGTGGCATGGGAAAGGATACGCTCCTATATACGTATATGATTAGCCAACAAAATACAGGATGTTACAGAGCTGTACTAATCCATATATGCCATAATTTGCACACAA